CTTCGGGTCCGTCCCCCCCCTCCGCCCCCCCCACCGGGGGTCCCCCAGGAATGGGGGAACCGGTGGGTTGTTGCGAACGGGTGGCCATCAACGTGGCGGGGCGTCGATTCGAGACCTTGGGGAGGACCCTCCTCCGGTTCCCCGACACCCTCTTGGGGGACCCCCGCCGGCGCCGACGGTACTTCGACCCCCAACGCCGAGAGTATTTCTTCGACCGTCACCGCGGAGCCTTCGGCGCCGTCCTCTACTACTACCAATCCGGTGGAAGACTCCGCCGACCGCCCGACGTCCCCTTAGACGTCTTCTTGGAAGAGTTACGCTTCTACCAGTTGGGCGCCGAAGCGGAAGGAAGACTCCGCGAGGCCGAAGGCTTCGGGGTGGAGGTCGCCCAACCTTTGCCCGGCGGGAGGTTGCAACGGCGAGCGTGGTTGTTGTGCGAGCACCCCGAGAGTTCGCCGGCTGCCCGCGCCGTGGCCTTGCTCTCCGTCCTCGTCATCCTCGTCTCCATCGTGGTCTTCTGCTTGGAGACCCTGCCTCAGTTTCGGGCTGGAGGGGAGGGGTCCGCTCAGGTGAGTCGCAGGCAACGGTGGGGGTCTTCGGCCGCGCCGTCCTCCTCCTCGCCATCTTCATCCTCACCATCCTCGGTGTTCTCAGCCCCACCGTCTTCATCGTCACCTTCATGATCCTCAGCTTCATCATCTCATCCTCACTGTCCTCGGTATCTTCAGTCCCGCCATCCTCATCTTCACCACCTCAATCTCGTCATTCTTGTTCTTAGCCTTGGCATCATCCTCATCCTCACCATCCTCACTCTCATCCTCCTCATCCTCACTCTCATCCTCCATATCCTCACCATCTTCCTCACCATCACCCTCACCATCCTCGTTCTCACCATCCTCATCCTCATCATTCTCATCCTCTCCATCCTCAACATCATCCTCCCTGCCGTTCTCCTCATCCTCACCATCCTCATGCTCAACCTCATGATCCTCATTCTCATCCTCACCACCTTCATCATCCTCACCATCCTTATCCTTCTCACCATCCTCACCATCTCCTTCTCATCATTCTCATCATGCTCACCATCTTCAGCCTCATTCTCATAATCTTCATCATGCTCATCATCCTTCTCATCATCATCCTCACCATCCTCATCATTCTCATCATCCTCAACCTCATCTTCACCGTCCTCCTCCATCTCTTTCTTGTTATCACGATCACCATCATCATCATCTTCATCTTTCTCCTCCTCATTCTCCTCCACCTTCTCAATTTTTTTGTCATAATTTTCTTCATCTTCCTCATCGTCATCTTTACCTTTTTCTTCCTCATCCTTTTTGTCAGTCTCCTCCTCCTCCTCTTCCTCCTGCCTGGAGACACTGCCTCAGTTCCAGCCTGGGAGCCCTTGCTGCAAATGAGTACCCCCCCAAACCTTCCTCATCCTCATCGTCCTCACCATCCCCATCATCATCCTCATCACCACCATCCTTGTGCTCTTCATCTTCGTTCTCATCATTATCTCTCTCATTCTCTTCATCATCAGTCGTCTTCTTGACCTTCGCATCACCATCATTCCCATCATCCTTTTAATTCTCTTTTTTATTTCTCTTCTTCATCTCTTTCGTATCATCATCGTCATCTTCATCACTCTCGTCACATCCTTCTCCATCACCTCCACCTCTTTCTTGTTCTTCTCCCATTCTTCCTCATCAACCTCAGCCTCTTCGTCATCATCCTTTTCCTCAATATCCTTCTCATCACTATCATTCTCGTGATCGTCATCATTCTTCCTTATCTTTTCATCAGTGATTTTCACCATCATCCATTTCCTTCTTCCCATCTTCCTCAACATCTTCATCATCCTCATCTTATTTCTTGTCTTTTCTCATCATCATTCTTCCATTCTTCTTCATCCACCCGGTTCTTTTTTATTATCTTAGTCCTTCTTTTGCTCCTCTTCTTCCTTCTCTTGCTTCTCCGCCTCCTCTTCCTCCTCCACTTCCTCCTCCTTCTCCTCTTGCTTCTCCTCTTCCTCTTCCTCCTCCACTTCCTCCTCCTTCTCCTCTTGCTTCTCCTCCTCTTCTTCCGCCTCCTTCTCCTCCTCCTCTTCCTCCTCCTCTTCCTCCTCATTCTCCTCTTGCTTCTCCTCCTCCTCTTCCTCCTCATTCTCCTCCTCCTCCTTCTCCTCTTGCTTCTCCTCCTCCTCTTCCTCCTCCATCTCCTGGGACCTAGGAGTCCGGGTGGGCTCTAACCCCCTCCATCCCCCCAGGCAGGGCACCCAACCACCTAGGTGGGCTCCAAGTCCCCATGACCCATGGTGGGTGGTGGACCCAAGCATCTGGGTGGGCTCCACCCTCCATTAACCCATGGTGGGTGGTGGATCTAGGGGTCCGGGTGGGCTCTGACCCCCATTAACCCATGGTGGGTGGTGGATCTAGGGGTCTGGGTGGGCTCTAACCCCCATTAACCCATGGTGGGTGGTGGATCTAGGGGTCTGGGTGGGCTCTGACCCCCTCCACCGCCCCAGGTTGTCCACCCCCCGCACCCTCACCCCTCCCTATCTCCCTCCCCAGACCCCACCACCCATCTCCACCGCCGTCAACGCCTCCTCCCCGCCGTCCTCCCGGGCCAATTTAACGGATCCTTTCTTCGTGGTGGAAACCGTCTGCATCTGCTGGTTCTCCTTGGAGCTCCTCGTCCGCCTCCTAGCCAGCCCGAGCAAAACGGCCTTTTTCCGCAACGCCATGAACCTCATCGACCTCATCGCCATCGTCCCCTATTTCGTCGCGTTGGGGACCGAGCTGGCCCGCCAACGGGGCATCGGCCAACCCGCCATGTCCTTGGCCATCCTCCGCGTCATCCGCTTGGTGCGGGTCTTCCGCGTCTTCAAATTATCCCGCCACTCGACGGGCTTACAGATTTTAGGCCAGACCCTCCGCGCCAGCATGAGGGAGTTGGGCTTGCTCATCTTCTTCCTCCTCATCGGCATCGTCCTCTTCTCCAGCGCCGTCTACTTCGCCGAGGCCGAAGACGCCGCCACCGCCTTCACCTCCATCCCCCAAGCTTTTTGGTGGGCCGTGGTCACCATGACCACCGTGGGCT